AAAAAAAAAGAGAATAAGAATAAGAAATGGGGGAATAATTAGATGTGAGGGGTGCAAGACTTGTTAGGATTAACACGCAGCTAAAATACAATAACTGTTGAAATTGCAGCCATCACACAACTCCATCCCCATCACCACCCCACATTTAAATTCCATTATTTATTCTCTCTTTTTTTCTTTCTTTCTCTTCCTCTTTCTCTCTTTTACATACATTCATACACATACACATACGGAAACTCTCTTCTCTTTATGAAATAAAAAAGTTTCCCGATATGTTATTTTTTTTTTCCCTTTTTTTTGATGTTGTAGACATTATTATTATGATTATTATTTCTCTATCATGCATCTAACTTGGTGCCTGAGATAACACTAGCACTAACTACACCGAGTCCAAGTCCCATGAAGAGTCGGAAAAAAAGTCCACCACTATTCCACAATAACAACATTCCCATAATACCATAAGCACCAAGACGACCAGATGTTTTTAACCAACGTTCCTCATCTGGTGATTGTCGAAGTTTCATCGCTTTACTTACAAGTGCATCCACCTGTTCCTTTGTGTAATAATGATAAAAACTTGGATCATGAATCTCTCTTGTCTGCTTTCCAACAGAGATAATACCATTTGGATCTAGAAAATCCTCATAGGATGTCTCCCGCTGAGAAACAGGCGGTTTCTGTTTATTTGGGTGTAGAGAAACCCCACACCACGAGAGCCATTTCCGCAGTGTGGCTTCTCCCACATTTCCTTCCATTTCCTTTTCCATTTCTCTCTGCAATTGCTGCTGTTGTTTCCATGCCATTATCGCACGGCCCCGTTCACGTTCCTTTGCCTGTTTAACGCTCTCCAGTGAGCAATCCGTATATCCATCCTGTACACAGGCGTAGGCCAAACCAGAGATAATCCCAATGGGTGTACTGTAGCCGGCACTTGGATAGAAATAGTGATGGAGTCGGGCAAGACTGCGATCAGCAAATGGAAGGCGTGGACGGTAATAGGCGTAGAAATAGAATAAACTAAAAAGATAACCAACAGGTACTACACGGCGAACCCCTTGCATTGCACGGGACTCCATCAGAAGAGTGCCTGGCTGTTCACTACTGCGTTCACACTGCATATATTGTGGGTAATCATCGGGGTTAATGCGATAGAGGATAATGGAGAGACGATCCATTAATCTATGTATGGAAATCCTATATTTATATGTATATATATATATATATATATATATATATATATATATATATTTGTTTATGTATGTATGTATATGTATTTAAGTAGAGTGAGGTACAGAGACAAACACAGAAACGCTCCTCACACCTTTGCGTGTTCGCCCATCAACAAGAATAGGAGACACAGAAGGTGTCAAGAGAGAAAAAGAAAGAAAAAAAAAGAGAAAAAGAGAGAAAACACGTTAAGAATTAAGGAAAAAAAAAATAATAATGATGATATATGCAGTGAAACAAATAGTGAGACACAACTATTTAGTCTTATTTTTACTTTTCTTTTCCTTTGTTTTGTTCTTGTTTTTTTTCTTTTTTATGGACAATGTTCTCTTCTTGATGGGAAGTAAGCTCGTGAGAATACACAAAAGCTGAAAGTCAAGCAAACAAAAAAATAGTTTAAAACAATGATGTCTCCATTCATTACTTGCAACCACTTTTTTTTGCCTGTCTGTAATGTAAGTGTACCTAGGAGTTTATATAT